GACGCGAGAGGGAGACAGCGAGGAGAGAGAGAGACACGAGGAAGAGAGAGAGAGAGAGGAGGAAGAAGAGAGAGAGAGGAGAGAGGACAGACAGACAGTTAGAGAGAAAAGAGAGAGGAGAGAGATGGAGAGAGAGAGAGTAGAGAGGGGAGCGACGAGAGAGACGAGAGAGGAGAGGAGGCGCGGGGGGGGGGGCGAGAAAGAGAGAGGAGAGAGAGTAGAGAGACTGAGAGCAGAGACGAGAGAGGACGGAGAGAGAGAGAGCAGAGAGAGAGGCATGGACAGGACAACAGACAGAGAGAGAAAGGAAAGAGGAGGAGAGAGAGAGAGAGAGAGATGAGCAGAGAGAGAGAGAAGAGAGAGGGAGAGAGAGGGAGAGAGAGAGCGAGAGAGAGGGGGGAGAAGAAGAGACGAGAGAGAAGAGAGAGGAGAGAGAGGATCGAGATGAGAGGAGGAGAAGAGAGAGAGAGAGAGAGATGGAGAGGAGAGGGAGAGAGAGAGAGAAGAGGAGTAGAGAAAGAGAGGAGAGATGCAGAGAAGAGAGACGAGAGAGAGGGGGGAAGAGGAGGAGAGAGAGAGAGAGAGAGGGGGGGCGGAGAAAGAGATCGGCAGAGATGCAGAGAGAGACGACGCACGAGCAGACGACGAGACTTGAGAGAGAGAGAGAGCAAAGACGAGATGAGAGAAGAGGAATGAGAGAGAGAGAGAGAGAGAGGGGGAGCAGACTGGGAGAAGCCCTAACAACCCGAACACTTGCCAGAGTGAAGAATCAGGAAGCTGCAATAACTGCACCGAGGGGGCTCATGCAAATCATCATCGTCATCGTCATCGTCATCGTCATCATCGTCATCACCACCACCATCAACATCGCCGTCATCGTCGTCGTCATCGTCGTCATCGTCGTCGTCATCACCATCATCATCGTCATCATCATCACCATCATGGAATTTCTCCCCCCTCCCCCTCCCCCTCCTTCATGCCACCATCGCCACAACGCGGCGCAAAAAAAAACACCCGAGCGAAACACGGCGACGGATCGCCGCGAAGCCATGCGGAAAACAAGCGAACGTGCGACAGTCGACGATGCATGCAGCCCCCGTCGCCGCGGATGCGGTGGAAGCGACGAGATCGGATCTTGCAGGCAGCATGCACACATCAGCAGCAGGGCCACCCTTAAAAAATTGTTTGTTTCCCCTTTACCTACTCGCCTCTCAGGGTACCGAGTAGGTAGGTAGGTGAAAAATCTTTTTTATTTTGTTTCGACAAAATGTGTGTATGTATATTGTATATTCTGTTTTGTGTATATGTTTTTGCGAAACGAATTTGAATTTATTTTTTTGGCGAAACAAAATAATTTTTGTTTTGTTTTAATCGGCCAATAAAATATGTCGAGTGGCGGCGTTTTGGCGAGTCGGTCGGTAAAGGGGAAACAAGCAATATTTTATCTTAGGCCCGGTGAGGGAGAGATGCGCACACACGACCGCCGCCTCCATGCGTGCCAGCGGCAGCGATGAGAGACCCACCATAGATAACCCCGACGAAGACCATGAGCAGGTAGGCGTCGTTGTCGTATTTCATCGCCTTGGCGACGCCGTAGTGCACCTTCTTCACGCGCAGCACCTCCTTCATGCAGCAGAGCACGAGTTTGACCGGCAAGAACTTGAGTATTTTGTACGTGAGGTCGAACGGAGTGTAATTCACGACGTACCTGCGCCGGACGCGGCAGAGAGAAAGAAAGAGAGAGAGAGAGCGCGAACGCGACCGTTAGAACGACAGCTAGCCGCGATGACGCGCGAGCAACAGGGGGCGCCACGCGAGCGACCGACGCTCCGATCGGGGAGAAAAGCGGCAGACGACGACGACCAGACGAGTTTTTCCGTCCCCATTTTTTTAAATCTCGATTTTAAATTTTCGACGTCATTCGACGGCAGAGCCACCTTCCAAAAAAAAACTTCCCCCGAAATCTTTCCTGGGTGCGGCTCGCTTTTCCCCGCGCGGACCGTCGGTCGCCGCGGCAACGCGTGGGGGAGTCGGTTACCGAACGAGGTGCCGACGAGGACGGCTAGGATGTAAAAATCGTCGTATTTGTGGAGAGAGCGCGTGACGGAGAGGTGGATGCGGTGCGTACGCCGCACCTCCACCATCAGCTGCGGCACGAGCTTGACGGGGGCAAACCTCGCCATCTTGTATACGACGTCGAACGGAGAATAGTTGATTAAATACCTGAAACGACAGCAAGCATTGTCGCGCACGCAGGCACTTGGAGCGTTTCAATAAAATATAATGCTAAATAAATACGAAATCTATTTACTACCTTAGAAACATCTTAATGTTTCTCTACTCTCTTTCGCCTATTGTTGCCGACAATTTCCTGTAAATGCCGTGCAAATGCTCCTCTGCAACACACATGTACACCGCATGCACACTGACACATAAATATATAGATACAATATATATGTGTCAGTGTGCGGCAGC